AGTGAGGAGGTTCGCATAGTACCTGCGAATCAAGGACAGATTGATTAGCGGCTAAACACAGGTTGATAGCTAATCAATTAGATTGTGAACAATAACACAATTGTCTTTGTGTATCAAACTGATATTGRAGAGTGAAAGCATCACAGTTTTGTTCTGTGTCCAGAGAGTAGGCAACGAACTCTGGGTTACCAATTCTCGTGTGTTAATTTCACTTAGATTGAATTCTCATTTAGATCGAACTAATTGGATTTGAATCGGACCAAGATTGAAGCTAAAATTGAACGTAATTACATGGTTAAATCTCAACAATAATCAAAGTCATGTGGTCCTGTCTTTTTGATATACTTGAGAAGAAGTAATGAGTTAATCAGTGATAGAGACTAATGGTTCTTTAGGTACACAAATCTATAGAGATTTGGCATGTGATGTCCTTTAGACAATAAGCCCCGATGATGTTATCATGTAGGACATCATTAGACACTAACTTCTCAAACACCATTTAATGATCTGTTCTTGGTTTAGTATCTTGAATCCAAAGCCATGTGCTATTGTACAATGAAACCCCCCCAAAAAAAATACTTAATTTTTGATTATTTCTTTCAGATACTCGTTTATATAACAAGTAACAACAATAAACCCTTTTGATTCACAAACTAAGAAAATAATAATCTCAAACCTTTCGCCAAGAAAAAGAAACCCTTTTAGCTTAAACGCATCAAGAGCTTCAAGACAACATTAGCAACAAGAAGAAAAAATGGCTTTTTTGAGAAGTTTCTTGGGTGCAAAGCAAATTATGAGAAGGGAATCATCGTCTTCGACACCAAGAGGATTCATGGCGGTTTATGTTGGAGAGAATGATCAGAAGAAGAAGAGATATGTTGTGCCGGTTTCATACTTAAACCAGCCTTTGTTTCAAGAACTGTTGAGTAAATCTGAGGAAGAGTTTGGGTTTGATCATCCTATGGGTGGCTTAACCATACCATGTCATGAATCTTTGTTCTTCACAGTCACATCTCAGATTCGATGAATTACAAAAGAATATTCCATTTTTTTTTTTTTTAACACATTTTGTTAAAATTGTAGATATTATTGTTAGCTAAGTTCCCCTGGAAATAATTGTAAATTGTTTCAATGAGAGGAATATACATACCACATATACATGATTCATTGAATGTTAATACACTTTTTGTATCTTGCAAAAAAACAAAAAACAAAAAAGTAATACATTTTGTGTCACATATATTATCTCTGGACAGCAAACATTTCGTATCAGATATTTTTTTTGGTAGTTATATCCAAATTTCTCAGAGAACAGTTATGTGACTATTCATTCCTTTTTTGTTTTTTTTTTTGGGTCGAAATACTATTCATTATTCCTTGTGACATCTGTAATATAATGAGAAAACTTGGATTCTTTTTTGTCTCTTACAAATAATTTTTAATTAAAAACAATATAGAGATTGGCCCAGACATATTTTAATTAGAAGCCCAAAGCCCATTAGATCCGTGCCACGCGCTTGTTTCCCGCCGAAATAAGGATAGGAGATGCGCGTCAAGTTGACACCGTTTTTTATTAGCTAACGTCTTTGTAACGATTTTATTTTTTGATCCTTCTTTTTCCCATTTTTGTTAGTTAGTAACACTTGTTTTTTATTTTGACACCGACCGTTAGTTGTTTAGTTTGTTTCTCATCAACATTTTTTTTTTATTACATGTACATATAATTATATATGTTTTGATCTTTGAAGAAAATCATAATATTTGATTTCGTATTAACGTATAGTTTTTTCAGTAATTCACCTTTTATTTTTTGGTTTTCTTAAGATCTGATGCGAACCAAATTTTTCGATACGATACTAATCCATTTTAAAATTTCTAGTTGTGAATCACTTTAAGGTCAATCTAACCATAAATTTTAATTTTAAAACTTACATATCGACATTTTAAAAAAAAATTATGAAATAGACAATTTTCTTACATTTAAGTTTCTATTAACCTCCAGTCCTCCCCAAAAAATACAAAAAAAATTCAAACTTTGCAAATGGGGCGGGCCCTAGAAGAAGCAATTAGACGTTAATATATGGTTTCTCACATGCCAAATTAAGTAGGAATACGACCTAAAAACCCTACCTCAACTCTCATTTAGCAGATAAACTAATCAATATATGATGGCTAAAGAAAGCTTAGTCCTATCTTTTTGCAGTCTCGATCATTTTCTCTAGGTGCCACTCTGTTTTTCTTGATGTTGTCCTTTTTCGAAATTAAACTATTGTTCATCGTACAAGAAAAAAAAAAATTAGCCAATCTGATCATAATTGTAAGTTTATTGTCTTTTCTTGGGTCCAAATTTTCTTGCAGCCCATGTGATGATAAGACCTTTCATTTCACTTCAGATCTTGCCACCTTTTTTTTTTCTCTTGACTAACAAAAAAACAGAGCTCATGGTTTCGCTCTTTCACGTGAATATACAATTTTAGATTCAATCACTTCCTATACGAAACATACTTCGAACTTTCTCATATATATATATTTTTTTATCTTTGATTTGACACAACTCGAGAGTAAATATGCACTAAGACTATTTTTTTAACAATATTTGTATATTTACTTATCTTTAATTATGTTTTTTTTTTATCTGAAAAAATACTTTTGTTTTCTTGGGGAAAAAGGACATAGCTACTTTGTTCTAGTTTTGGTAAAGAAAGAAGAAGCAGAGTTGTACAAACAGGACAGTTTTCTAGGTTGATTTCTGATTTCTAGCCGTGAAAGTAGAAAATAGAGATTCAAAAATTTCCACAAGTGAGTAGACAGATTCAAGTATAATAAAATCTGTATGAAAGAAGTTGCATTTTGCACTGTAAAAAAAGGAAAGTTGTACAAAAGAGGACAGTTTTTAAGGGAAGAAGGAGGCAAGAGTAACATGGGGTCTTTCATGTGCTTGGTCGAGACGAGAGACATGTCTCTTTCAGTCCGTAAGGCGAAATTGTCCCTTCAAAAAGATTCGTAATTTTTCTCCTTAAACCTCTTCTCGTTTTCACTGAAAATTTCTCCACAACAATTCTCGTTCGCAGAACATGCTAGACTCTCTCCCTGACAACGACCACAA